TGAAATACGTCATTTGTGTTTCGTTAACTATGCGCCGGACACTCATTTTGTTCCACTGCACAGCTGTGCATACAGGTGTTCGACGTTCGGTATTCTGAGAAAAATGCTATTTATAGTTTTATGACTTCACATTATATTAGGGTAAAAAGCAGTCGAACTATTTGAGAATTGTTTATTTATTTAGTAGATGTAAAATATTAATTTGTTGATGTTTTACTGGTGAAATTGTAGAATTTAACCAACTGGATCAACTCGTAAGTAGTTCAAACATGGAAATTTTTCTTTCAATACGCCTAAAGCGTTTTCTATAATACCCCGAGTCCGTTTATGAGCTCTGTTGAAAGTGGTCTGCACTGGGTTCATTGGATCATCATACGTTAGAGGAATTAACCATTCACGTAAAGGATATGCGGAATCGCCAAGAATTATAGCATTTGCATGAGGTCTCTAACCATTTTCCATTCTACGAAACAGAGAACTGTTACGAAGTACTCGCGCATCGTGGACCAATTTGCTCTTATATAATAAAACTTTAAGTCAGGCCCACACACAGCCATGCAATTGATTGAATGCTTACCATGGCGGTCGACGTAAGTGGGTTTGTTATTCGTGGGGGAATCGATGTTTATGAGGGTTCCATCTACAATTCCACAAACCTCAGGAAATCCAGCCAAATTATGAAAGCATTCTACTACGTTCCCTGTATGTCGGGCTAACCTCAGGAAATCCAGCCAAATTATGAAAGCATTCTACTACGTTCCCTGTATGTCGGGCCATCGAATTAATGCATCAAATTTTATTTCGTTTACAGAAGCACCAACTTGGTGAACACATCTGCAGACGGTCATTTTTGACACTACATGCATGTCACATACCCCATGGTGTTGCCCTCCGTTTCCAAACCAATGCAGAAAAATAAGCAGTTTCTATAATGGTGACAAACCGTACAATCGAATTGTTTGATTAGCGATTGCTGGGCCTATATCTTGAAGAAGAGTTTCACACTGTTCTCGATTGAGTCTGAACCTTTCCAAAAATTCCCCGTCTGTCAGAATGACAAAGTTAATTCTCACATCAATGCACAGCACGAGCATTTTCGTTGTCACTTTCAGAAACACTTGACCACATATCGACAGTAAAATGATACGTTCACGGTGAAAGATTTAACTACACTGACTCTACTCACGTTTCGAGTTAGGTAGAAAATTGTTTACATTTATTGTTGACAATTCCATAAAACAACTGCACAAGTGTAGTTGTTGTGTTATGGAAAGAGAATATAACTGTACAGAAAGTTCAGTAATTACCAGTGCCTCGCTAGTTACTACAAGTTACGGTATTATACGCCGACACTCGAACGGCGGATATAACTATTGAAATGTTATAAAGAGTTTCTAGACACTTTGAAACACACTACACATAACAATTTTGGATCCGCTAACACTTATTAAAAAAAAATACCTTAAAATCCAAAATCCTTAAAATTTGTTGTCGGGTCTCCATCATAAAACAAATGTAAAATAAACCATTTTCACTGATTTGTTTTTGTAGAAACGGCTAAATATCAATATAAGACCATTCATAGAGCAATAAACCGTACCAAATTTTTTCATAAACGATCAAATTTTCTTATTTTTCATTTCTAGTTTGTTAGAAAAATAAATAAACACTAAATTATTTTTAATGACAATTGATGTATCTAGTTTCTATAAATGCGGTGTTGCCAAATCGAGTAAGAAAACATATAAGTCAGGAAATAATTCGGTTAGTGAAAGTTGGCTGAAAAAATACATAGTGTCTGGCCAGCAGGTAAATTTGGATCTCGAAGTGAAAACATTTGTAGTAATCACAGAGAATCGTCTTTTTATTTCATTTCATGATGATTGTACGTTAATTACGGCATGTCGGTACTTATCTAATATTTAAAAAAAAATTAATTTGAGCTGTGTCCAGGCCGTTGGAGTTTATGCCGTAGGCGTAGCCAGGTCGTTCCTCCATTTTATTATTGTATATTTTCTTATTATTAATTGCTCACGTTACAAGACTCGTTCGTTAAAAGTTGGGATCGAGGTTCACTGGCCAGACGCTAATGAGGGTTGGTTAGGTTAGGTTTTTTTTTTTTCAATTTGAGCTGTGTCCAGGCCGTTGGAGTTTATGCCGGTCGGCGTAGCCAGGTATGGATTGGAAATTTTCTGGTGGCGGCGAAGCCGCCACCTTACAAGAAGTCGTTCCTTGATTTTCTTATTGTATATTTTCTTATTATTAGATGCCCACGATACAAGACACGTTCGTTAAAAGTTGGGATCGAGGTTCACTGGCCAGACGCTAATGAGGGTTGGTTAGGTTAGGTTTTTTTTTTCAATTTGAGCTGTGTCCAGGCCGTTGGAGTTTATGCCGGTAGGCGTAGCCAGGTATGGTTTAAAAACTTTTTGGTGGCGGCGAAGCCGCCACCTTACAGGAAGTCGTTCCTTCCTTTTCTTATTGTATATTTTCTTATTATTAGATGCCCACGATACAAAACACGTTCGTTAAAAGTTGGGATCGAGGTTCACTGGTCAGACGCTAATGAGGGTTGGTTATGTTAGGTTAGGTTTTTTTTTCAATTTGAGCTGAGTGGCCGTTGGAGTTTATCCCGTAGGCGTAGCCAGGTATGGTTTAAAATTTTTGGTGTCGGCAAAGTCGTTGATTTATTTTCTTATTGTATATTGTTAGTTTAGGTTAGTTAAGGTTTTTTTTTTTTTTAATTTTAATTTGAACATTAGGAAAATAATTATATTTTCTTTAATATATTTTACATTTATATTTAACCAAACAAGCGCTTTTTTTAAATTTTTTCGAACGAATATTGTTAGATAAGACCGTTGTCTGTATAAATTCAAGAATAAAGTCCATTAGATATAAGATGAATTTTCGTGTTATGACAATGACATTGATGTATTTTGATTTACCGCCAATATTGAGCTTGAGCTTGCTTGAGTGTACGTCAAGGGTTAGATATTATATACATATTGATTTTGCTCATTTGTATTGATTTTTTTTTATTTTTGATTTAAAATGGCAAATAACGTTACAATTGTAACAATTTTTGAAGCGTGCAGAAATAATAATAATCTGCACGCTTTTTTGTTGAAATACAAACTTGTACCGGTTGAAGGAGAATACTTGTGTCGGCGATGTAACAGCCCAATGAAGCTCTGTTCCAATCATGAATCGTAAGTACTATTCAATGTTTGGTAATTTCAATAAATAATTTCAATTAAAATAACTTATTCGCCTTGACCAGTGGTATTGGTACTGTAGAAAATTGCATCAAAAGCCTAAAGCAAAGGCCGTTAGATGCAATTTTAAGGTATTATTAAAAAAAGGCACATTTTTTTCCCAGTGAAAATTGTCATTTTTCCAAAAACTTGGATTAGTCAATTTCTGGGTTAGAAATATGCCTTTGACTTATATCGGGATTGAACTTAAAATCAACAAGTCAACTGTTGTTGATTGGGCGAGTTTTTGCAGGGAAGTGGTTCTACAATCCTGTTTGCAAAATCCTTAAAAACTTGGTGGGCCCGGCATGATTGTCGAGATAGACGAATCAAAATTCAAAAAACGTAAATATAATCGAGGCCATCATGTCGAAGGACAGTGGGTTTTTGGAGGTTTTGAAAGAGGAACTGGTAGGGTATTCATGGTTGCCGTGGAAAAAAAGAGATAGTGATACTCTTATCCCTCTCATTGAAAAATGGATTGAAAAGGGTACCACTATCTACTCTGATTGTTGGAAAGCATACTGTTCTCTCGGTGATCGTGGATATAACCACCTTACTGTGAATCACCCAATCACGTTCAAAGATCCTGAAACCGGCTACCATACCAATGCTATTGAGTCTTCATGGAGACATGCGAAGGCCGTTACAATGTCAAATGGACGAAAAAAGGCACACATACCAGGTAATTTGGCTAGGTATATGTTTTATAAATGCTGTCAACTAGACAATACTTGTCGAGTTGAAGAGTTTTTAAAACTGGCGGGAAAATTGCATAATCCTTGCAATTTTGAAAATATGTCGAAGAGTATTCTGCCGAGGAGGGTGGGAAAGAAGATCTTGATATGGGTATTTCTTAAATTGTTAGTTTTATATAATTTTTCCGATACCGAAGTCAATTGGTTGGCCTGGTACAACGAAGGGCATAGGTAAACATTACCATTGCTATGTAATATATAATTGATATGGCAACATTGTATTTCTTTTAGACACATGTCACTCTGCCAATGTCAATTGTCATTGCGGTTATGCAAATTGGATCATTTTGACGAAATGTAACTTGGTCGTAAATTAAGAAAATAAGACTGTTTACGAAAAAATTTGGATAGTTTATTAGATTATGGATGGTGTAGTATTGTTATTTAGTAGTTTCTATAACAAGAAATTAATCAAAATGATGTAGTTCAAATTTTTTCAACATCGAAATTGGAGGATACATTTTAATATTTTTAAGGTAAGAGAAAAATATCTTATAGTGTTTGCAGGGCAAAAAAAGTATTTTGAAATGTGTTTCAGAAGGTCTAAAATCGTTTAAAAAAAAATAGCTTGTTCGACCGTCGGCGGATTTTTCCCAAGTTACTTTATGTTACAGAATATCTACACTTGTATAATTTATTTGTACACTTGTTGGACTTGTATTGTTTGTGTTATAGGCCCCTGGACGGTACGCTGTGATATTCCAGAAAGTGGGGTAAATGGGTCTGTCAGAGTAGGCAACGCCATGTCAAGGCGTTGCCTACTTTAACTGTGATAGTTCTGTCAGTTAGATATGAGTTTGAAGATATTGAGGGGAAGACCTATGTTCATAAGCTTTTTGACTAATAGAGCATGCCAGACTTGGTCAAAGGATTTTTGAACATCTAAAAGAAAGTCTATACTGCAGTGAGGAGATTGCGTCTTGAGTGGGTTGATGTGATGTGAAACTGTCTTTCGTAAAAGACGGTTAAAAATATTTACACTCACCTTTTACTAACAAAATTCGTGAACTTATTAATGTTACGGATCCATAATCAACTTGACAGGTATATTCGCCTTCAGTATCTGCAGTTGCTTTATGTATGGATATTTCAGTTAAGTTTGACGTTTGTATCTAAAAAAATAATTCAGTTTCCTTGTACATATATGAAAAAACGCCGTAAACTTCGAAGTTATGCAACAAATTTTATACTTATGCAATACGCCAGTTTAGTGCAATGGCATATATAGTTTAAATAGACTGCTTATCCATACGTAAATAAAACGATGAAAAGCGGGTCGAACTGGGAGATGTTTTCTCTTTGTCTAGTGCATGCAATGTTTGTGTTTTGTCTCAATTTTGAGTGCTCACTGGTAAACAAAACTTTCACAGGACCGGTTTTAAAGAAAGTTTAGTCTAGTTGAGATTTTGTTCTCATTGTCATTACTCAGTCGGACATTTTGTTGAGTTGTTTATTTTATTTAGTTTTAATCATACTTATGTTCTGTTTTAAATTTTTTAATTATTTGAGTATAAAAACTTGTTTTGTTTTTAAATTTAAATGGTGAATTGCTCTATAAAGGGTTGTAAGACCAGCTACAGAAATATAAAAAGTAACATTTCATTTCCCACGCAAGTATCAATACAAGTAGGTCAAGGTAAATACGTTTATAATAATTTTATGAATTATAATTAATTATAATAATAATATTAATAATAAAGTATTTATTGTAAATACAATTACATAAATATTATTATATTCAAAGGCCTGAGTTAGAGCTATCTGGGCTTTACAAGTACATTTTAAAATTTAGTTAGATACAGAGAAGTATCGTATAATAAAAACAATATAAATAGAAGAAAAACGGACATAAGTACCAATACAGAGAGACAAACACTTTTATTCTTTGATAGGTTCTTTCTATGTGAATTCTAGCTCTGGCAATTTTGGCATTAAGTAAAGCCTCTTGATGGCTGAACTGATTTTTTTTATTGAGGAAAGGAGGCTGTATAATTTGTATACCTTCAGCTTCTGTTATGTTTCCAATAAGAAAACCTTTGTTAAATATTTTACTATCGAGAAATGATTCACACACTTCAAGTATTGAACTTTGTTAAAAAATGTCTATTTCTGAAGTTCTACCACCATATGCTTCACTTTTGTAAGTAATGAGACCAGTAGGTGACACTCCAGTCAATATTTTAATAGTATGCCTCTTTTTGTAGTCAGAGTAATTTTTTAGCCTACAACAAAGACATTTGGCTTGCTGTATTGGGATTTCGGTACAATCAAGTAGTACTCTTACTTACATAGAGGCACATTATTTAATATTTCTTGTTTTGAAGGCCGAATTATACCATACTAAGAACTTCTACCAGTTTTATTAAAAAATGTTAAAAAATTTAATGATAAAAAGTTTCATTCACATTATATCTTGCATATCAGTTTTCAACTTTATAAAAGTAAATATAAATTGATCCTTTACAGACATAACTGATCTCCTTTTTCCTATTCTTTAGAAACAACGAATTCCACAATGGTGGCTAATAACTGGAAGGATTGCAATCCTATTAAAGTGGATAGTTCTTTAGCACTGACAATTCTGTTTGAAAACGGATCAACTAAATCACCACTCTTCACTTGTGTTGAACAATCGATCCCAATTTTCTGCTTTTAAACGAAGTTTTGTAAATTAAGCAAAGCTCTTCAGCAGCACACAAATCTTCATTATCTGCTTCAGTAGTAGATATATGTTCATTAACTGCAAAAACACATTAAACATAATAATAATAATAATTAACCAAACATTTTAAATTATGCATACGTACATCCATTGCCTGAAGAAGATAACTCAACACTTAACATTCTACTAGTACTGGCAACATATCATTATTAAAGACAGTAGCCATAATTCTTGTTTTAGCTGGATTACTTTTCTTTTTATTAATAGTCGCTTTCTTTTTACCACTAATCTGAGCTAACTTACATCGACTAAGCTTTCCACTGGTGGAATCTTATTATTATTTATCAAATAATTCACATTCACCGCCAAAATAATCCTTAATTGTCTAAAGGGAACAAACTTTAGAATGTGAAAACGCTACAAACTTTTGTAAAATCTTTAAAAAGTTCATTCAATTTTTGCATAACATCTGCTTTTATAATGCGAAATAAATTTTAAAAGAATAATCAAGTGTCCGAATAGTGCCACTATACAGTGGTCGTGGCCTAAAGTTAGTTATATACACATTAGTGTAAAATTGTTTATATCTATCTTTAAAATTGGTTAGATCTCTTAAAATGTTTTGAAAATTGGGAAACTAGACATTATGACTCAAAATCCTTTTTTATATTATCTAACGCAAGCTCCTGTCTTGAAATAAACATACAGATAATTTTTTTTTTTTTTTAATTCAATTCCTATTTTGATGAAATATGAGTTTTAAACTCATTTGGGCCAGACCGATTCTGCCTGGTGAGTACTCGGCAAGCCAAGCAATTTGACCCGCTTTTCGTCGTCTTGTTTATATATGGATGAGCAGTCTATTAATCTATATATGTCATTGGTTTAGTGTGATGTAATCAAAGATATCGGATAATAGATACGCCTTGTATACATTACACTTGTCCGCTACTTTTTTTGACGGTACGCTCTTCCTATGTTGTCAGATCTCTTTCATCAAATATCAAACATTAAATTTTTATTTAAAAAGTTACTATTACCTTTAATACAATCTAATAAAAAAAAGGAAATAAAGAATTGAAAGCATCAATATGAGTTTTTTATTAATTGCAATCACTTAAGACTTTTAAGTATCTATTTTTACATGTGTATCATATGGGAATATTAAACATTTTGGTATAAATCATTTAACTTTGGCAACCTAAGACATTTTGCTGATGTTGTCAAAGTGACAGATCAAGTTTTATTGTGATTTTTGTGGTTTTTTGTAGTTTTCAAGAATAATTTAAACCCTGAACTTTTTATTAAGGACTTTTACGATGGGGAGGAAATAAATAGTGTGCCGAAATACGCAGAATAAGAATGTTATTCGGTCATTTCATAAATAAGATTATGTTAGCATAGACGTAGGCATATACAGGGAATAAGGCTTAATTTATTTAACAGTGTAAAGGCATTTAGCACTAGCATTGTTTATTTAAATAATAATGTTCTATATTTTCTGATCAGGTTCCCTAGAGAAATTATTCAACGTAAAATTTGGCTGCAAAATCTATGCTTGGTGGAGGAAAACATTATGAAAATGAAAGAAGCCTTAGTATATGTTCTGACCATTTTTGTATGGCAGATATTTATGAAAATTTAAGTGGTAGACACATCTTAAAACATAATGCTGTACCTATCAAGTAAGTACAGTATTTATTATGGGTATTTTTATTATATGTAAGCTCTAAAATTATATATATATATAGTGCAGTTCGTAACGGATGCTTCAATAACAATCTCACATGGAGATTGTTTCAAAATTGTTATAAAAAATTATTAATTCATAATGAAGTAAAGTCAAATAAAACTGCCAATGCAATTGCTTTAGATGGCACCAGCATCTTCGATTGTAGCAACACTAGTAGCCAAATTGCGTTAAATTTAAAATGTTACGAATCAGACAATAAAGAAAATTTGGAATTTACAAATGAGCTTCGTGACCATGATTACCTATCTACATATTTTCTGAGCGAATACATTCAGGATGTAGTTGCTTATATTTCTGGTTTTATAGTAAAATCCTTAAAGAAAAAGATTCACTGCAAACAGTGTTCTGCAATTGAACCAGTGAGTTCGAAAACCGTACAAGTCTCAAATTTGACATTTCAAAATAAGCCATTTCGTTTAAAATTTGTCTCTTCATCAGGCGAGTTCGGATAGTCAGGGGCTGGAGCGGGACAAATTTTAGGGTGCTTTTAAATGACATTTAAGCGTGTTAAACCGTCACTAATCGGACTAAACCGAACGCTAAAAGGGTCGTTTGGAGTTAAAAGTGTTAAAGGAGTTAAAGGAACTTGGCAGACCGAACGCAATGATCGATGCACTATTTCAGTGATGATGTAATTATGGTTCCACTGACAATTAAAGTGACAGTAGATTTTTGGAATGCGTTTTGTTCGTTTTGTTTACCTAAATTATATCGTTTTTTTCACTTTTATAAATATATTCCTAAAGTAAGTAGATAGCATGTATCAAATATACAATCGTTTAGTTACCAATTATATACCTTTAAACTATTTTTTATGACCTGTAAACAATATTTTGAAATAAAATAAAAATAGTAAAAACGTATATGTTAAATTTATTGATGTTTTTGTTAAAAGTTTGGTTAGAATTAAATGTCAGTCGAACCAAAATGACATCACACTGAACTAGCGCATTGAGCTTAAAAACCGTACTAGATACCTAGCTGTTAATGTAGTACAGCTGATTATACCCGTAAAATTAGGTGAAAAACCGTACGTATCTGCGACTCGTACGGCTTTTCATATCAATTACAAAATAATGGTCAGTTGATATGGTCAGTTGGAAAAACACAAATACTGAAAATGAAAATTACATAACTGAGATAACAGTTTTGATATTGTATTTTTCCTCCTTTTTGAATAAATATAAAATAAATCTTTTCTCATCGACAGACTTTCTGTCTCAACTGTCAAAGGTGCTACTTTATGTTCTTAATACACAAATAGCTATTTTGTCTTTTATTCCAAAATATGCTTTACAAAATATCAGTTATCTTATAACACTAAATAAATCTATTGAGCAGATTCTTCACCAAGAGTGTCTGTAGGAGTAATCATGATAGTAAAATGACATTCGAAATGTCAAAAAAGAAGCTTCCTTTAGTGTTTTTTCTATTCGGACAAATTAGAAATAAAGTATCTCTTGATAATCTTAAGCTAATGTGTTTTAGCCTTGTCCAGATATTATAAAATCATTGCTGATTACTGTCCTAAATGAGTTATTATATCATTACACAAATAATTCTAAAAACAGGTGTCGTGACATGCAACCCAAATGGTATGTAATAGAAAGATCATATTTGTATATTTATGTATCTGAAATAAAATTGTTCTGTTTTTAATAGCTTTTTATTTCATAAAAAAAAAGGTAGTCCGGCAATATAATTATTCTTTTTTCGACCTGTAATAAAGGTTTTCAAACAGTACCCATGTAAAAATAATAATAAATGGCTTTATATTTTTACTTGCTCTTTGCTCTTCATGTATTTAAAAAAATATATATAATAAAATACTAACAAAAATGTTCTTCCACTTTGAGCTACCTACTATTTTAATCTATAAGAAAAAATATAAAATGACTTTTTGAATGTCCTGTATAAATTGAATATGTTTTCTTTAAATTTAGCTTTGATTCTGAAGACCCATAGATTATTGATTTGGTCATTAAATAATTTTTACTAAAAATATATGTAAACCCTCCCGAAACACTACGTCAATGTGCGACGTACGATTCCCCTTTCCCCGTCTAGTAAAACATGCGGACAGAAGGTGTATTGGGTATACAGTGTGTAGGGCGAGTCTATCTTAGATAATATGATGTCTATGGATGTAATTTTGGTTCCACTGTACATTTAATTCTAACCAAACTTTTAACAAAAACATCAAAACATCAATAAATTTGACATACGTTTTTACTGTTTTAAGATTTTTTCTAAATATTGTTTGCAGGTCAAAAAATAGTTTAAAGGTATGTAATTGGTAACTAAACGATTGTATATTTGATGTATGTTATATCTACTTACTATAGGAATATATTTATAAAAATGAAAAAACGATATAATTTAGGTAAACAAAACCAACAGCAAACTCTTTATTTGTCAGTGGAACCATAATTACCTCCGAGCAATTACTCATCACTAAAATTGCGTATTAATGACAGGTTTTATTGAATTTAAAAATGACTTTTGGTTTACATATTGTAACTGTGGTAAGAAAAATAATATTCATAACTCGTTATGTAATATACTATACTTACGACTGAAAAGTTTATTCCTGACAATTTATGCAGCTGTAGTGCTATGTTAAATTCAGTCTCTGGTTCGTATTTATAGAATAATTTTCCATTTTTTTTCCAGGCAACAGATTTCAGAGTTGCTGAATTTTTCGTAGGGCTGTATGAACATGAAATGTTTGCTGTATCAGAAACCTTAACAAGAGCAGGAATCGTTGTGTTAATGTCACTGTGAATAACTAAAAATAATAGATTGATTCAAAAATATACTGGTTCTTCAAACATAATTAATTTTTGGTGTGTTTTTTTAAGAAGTTGTGGCGACTGCGACATTGTGATCACCACATACCACATGATCTTACCTTTATTTATCACCATCGAGATAGAATAAAGTAGAGACGACATAAACACAATTTTGGGATGTCACAGATGGACGTACTTCGAGTGACGGAAAAGTGTAATAGTCGGAGAGCTGGAGGGCAAATTCTGCAAGAGTTTTAAAGGCTAATTTTTCTACATACCAATGTATTGAGAATGTACATGAGTCCACTCGCAAAGTTAGGTAGCGCTGCATTCGGCGGCGCGCGGCGACACGTTTTGGACTATGTAGAACCAGCACATGCACTACAAGAGTTTTTTAATGGTTCAAAATTGGTAATTAACTTCATTTTAAAAAATTTGTTAATTGTCAACTGCGAAGTAAAAGTTTAGAGTTAATTTTTGCTAATTTCTAGGTGAAAAAGACACTAGTTTGTTTCTTTTATTAGTTTCGTTTAGTTCACGTTAGAAATAGAAGAAAATTATAGGATAGGATAGTCTTTAATTTTGGTAAAATGGAAATAGATGACGGGGAAGGTTCACCTTCCCCACCCCCACCTAAACCTCCAGATATTCATGTTGTAAGTCCCAAATTGGTTAAGCAAAATAACGAAAATATCTTATCACCAAATAACCAAGACGAAAATTCAACAAATTTTTCCCAGAGGTAACATCAACAGTGACAAGGTAAGTCAGACAAATTCTTTAATTCCCAACCCATTGAATGGAGCAGCAATTAAAAATGATATCAATACTAATATATCAAATCAGAAATTGCATACTTATTATAAGAGTACAGATTTAGGTCCATTACAAGTTTACGTTGAAAATAACTCTACAGATTTTCGGGGAAAGTTAAATGCAATTAAAGTTAGTAAAATTATCTTAAATTTACATCCAGAAATTAATCTCAAAATCAAATAAATTCAGTCTATAGGTAGAAATAGAATCCGAGTAATATTTAAAGATTACTGAAGTGCAAATATCTTACTAAAATCAACAACCATTGGTCAACACAACCTAGTCGCATATATTCCTAAATTTTTAATTTACAAACAAATTTACAAAGGAATAGATACTGAATTGCCTGAAGAATTTCTAAAATGCAGGATTTCAGCTTATGACTTTCATAGTAAATTTGAGGTAGATTTCGTAAAAAGAATAAATCGTAAGGTAAAACAAGACAATAATGAAATATGCCTAGCTCCAACTACTTCCATTCTGGTTTTATTTAAATGCCAAACTTTGCCAAGAAAAGTACTAATTAATAAAGTTTTATATAATGTAGAAATTTACCAACAAAAAGTTCTTCTGTGTAATAATTGTTATCGCTACGGTCATATTGGCAGGCAATGTAGAAGTAATAAAAGATGTTTAAAATGTGGTCAAGAACATGTTTCGGATAGTTGCTCAGAATTGGAAAAAATGTGTCTAAATTGCCAGGGAAAACATTATGCAAATGACATTCAAAATTGTCCGGAGTTCTCTAGACAGAAAGAAATTAAAAAGTATATGTCTGAAACAAACTGCTCTTTTAGAGATGCAAATGATAAAGTTCCAAAAAAAAGTTATGCTATGGTAACAGCCTCTAATATTTCCAATTCTTTACATAATCAAAATATATCCCTACTTTCCCCACAATATTCATCTAACTGTATTTCTCAATTTCTACCACAACAATAATCCTCTTCTGCTACTCAACCCTCAACAACATATGCTACTCAACCCTCAACAACGTATGCTACTCAACTCTCAACTACGTATGCTGCTCAAGCCTCAACTTCGTATGCTGCCAATAAATATCCTTTACAAAATAAGATGGAAACTAAAAATAAAATTCAAAAACGATCTCGACCAATTTCACCTGATCCTATACTTAAAGCTCGTGAGTCAATAGTATCTCCCACAACACTCCCAAACGTTACTGGGGGAATTAGTTCTTCTCAAAATTATCAAAAAAATCTAATTTTTTGGATGATCATTCAGGTATTTTTAATATAATTTTAAAAATCGTTTTATCAGTTATTCAAATAATTAAAGAAAAAAATCATTTTGAAATTCAAGAATCAGATATAATGTCATTAATTAAAAGCAGTCTTAATTTAAATTCAAGTGAATGTGTGAACAAATGAAATTATGTCAGTGGAATTGTAAATCAGCAATCTCAAATAAAGAAAACCTACAATATTTGTTAAATCATGAACAGATAGATATTGCCTGTTTATCTGAAACTCGTTTCACATCTGATAAATATTTTAATGTTTGTGGGTATAATATTTTAAGAAATGATCGAGAAGATCGATCTGGTGGTGGAACTGCCATACTTATTAGATCGAATATTTTATTTACAGAGTTGTCCAGTAACGTCATCCTTCCGAATACAAATCAACAGGCAGTTAAAATTAGGTGCAATAATTTAAATTTTAATCTGGTGTCACTTTACGTCCCCCCTAAGACAAAAATTTCCGTATCTCAGTGGGAAAGATTTTTAAAATCATATTCCAAACCTACTATAATAGTAGGAGACTTTAATTGTCATCACCTCGCATTTGGTGGTCCCAATACAGATTCTTATGGCAAAAACCTTTTAGAAGCTTTAGATAATTGTAGCTTATTATATTTAAATGATGGCTCTCCTACATTCATTGGTCATTCATGTCAATATAAGTCAGCTATAGACTTAACAATTTGTTCTCCAGATATTTCACATCTATTAAATTGGTCAACGCTAAATGATTTATATGGTTCAGATCATCTTCCAACAATTGTTAATATAAATCTAAGCCCTAAAATTACTTACTCATACTCAAATCGCAAGTGGAATCTTAGTGAAGCGGATTGGAATTCGTTTTATTTAGAAGCGTTGAAACAATTCTCTGAAACGGAAATTAATGAATATAGTCAATTTATGGAAAAATTAGAAAATATAATAGAACTAACCATACCTAAATATAGATCAATACATGTTTCCCCAAAAAACAAGAATTGGTGGAATGAAAACTGTAAACGCGTAGTAGATACAAGAAAGATTAGTTTTCAAAATTATTTAAATAATTCTAATTTAAATAACTTATTAGAGTATAAAAGAAACGATGCGGTGGCGAAAAGGATACTCAAACAAACAAAAAGGGATAGCTGGAAACAATATCGCTCCAGTCTTAACAAATCTACTTCAATGAAAGATATTTGGAAGAAAGTAAATAAATACAAAAATAGGAAAATAAATAATACCGTACAAATAGACATAAATGAATCGACCTGGTTAACAGAATTCCATAATAACTTGACTCCTCCATATGTTCATAGAACTCCATCATTAGAAAATATTGCAAAACAAACAGTGACCGATTATTTAAACCAACCCTTTTCTTATCATGAAATATGTCTTGCCCTCAAAAATCCAAAAAATACAACACCGGGTCATGATACAATACACTATGTTATGCTGAATAAATTACCAAAGAATGCAAAATTATCTCTTCTCAACATATTTAATAATATATGGACAAGAAAAATAACAATTCCTAAAGAATGGTACGAATACATTATTATCCCTGTACTAAAACCTGGAAAAAGATCAGATCAAGCTGAATCATATAGACCAATTGCTCTTGCTTCTTGTATATTTAAGACGTATGAAAAAATAATAAAACTCAGACTGGAATATTATTTAGAAAATAACAACTTACTTTCATCTACTCAATTTGGATTTCGCAAAAATATTTCAACTCAGGATAGTATAGCAAATATAGTAACAGATATTCAACTGCGCTTATCAAAAAATGAATCTATACTTTCCTTATATCTGTATACAGATAGGAAAGTAAAAAGTGCTTATGACAATGTATATTTAAATATTTTATGTGAAAAATTATGTAAGTTAGGAATCTCCATAACTATTTCAAATCATATATATATAATTTGTATAACAATAGGAAATTATTTTTAAAAGTAAACGGTGAATTATCTTGTCCACGAGAATCGGGCCTTGGGATCCCTCAAGGAAGTATTTTAAGCCCTTTACTTTATAATATACGTTTGATATAGAAAATTGTATTCCAAGATCTACAAATATTCTTCAATACGCAGATGATGTAGTGATCTACACAAGCCACAAACAAATTAATTATTGCCATGATCAGCTATTCAAATCTATGGAGAAAATTCATAGTTGGAGTCATGAAAACGGTTTAACAATATCTGAATCGAAGTTGGCTGTAGTTACTTATACGCGCAACAGGTATAACCATCCAAATTATATAAAGTTACATAAATATAACCTGGCTTATAAATCCTCCTTTAAATTTTTAGTCATTATTATAGACAGTCAATTAAACTGGAAGGAATATATAAATTATGTTCAGAAAAGAACCCAAAATGCTGTAAATATAATAAAAACTTTTACTTGTCATAATTGGGGCTCTGACCCAAATGTTAGTCTTATGTTTTATAGAATGCTGGTTCGTCCAATTATAGATTATGGTTCAATTTTTTATAATACAGCAGCAAACTCACATCTTCAGAAAATTGAACAAATTAAAAATAAATGCCTAAGACTCTGCGTAGAATTCTTACCAAGCACTCCTATAAATGTTATGGAAGTCGAAACATGTGAAAGTCCATTGGATCTAAGAAGGAAATTTCTGAGCGATAAATTTGTATTGTTATTCCGATCAAAACATTACACAGTAATTAATAAATTAAGCAGATTAACTATTCTATGCTTAACTTCATCCTTTTGGAAAAAGAAAAACTGCCATTATTAGTTGACAGTTTTATTTCTACTTCAGATGTCAGTAACGATCTACCAGTTTCAAATGGCATATATGTCTCTTATTATGCCAGTTAATAGTTACATTAATAGTAAATTCGACGTTGACAACCCTTTACTAATAAAGGCAAATTTTTATGAAGAATTAAA